ATCTTCTGTGTCTGTGTTAATTGGTTTCCCTTTTCTTTGTTGAAGAGGGTCTGTGCAATCCTTCTGCCTAGTCCGCCATCTTGCCCCGCCTCCTCTAATAAGTTTTGAAGTTAGAAAGTATAAGTCCTCCAACTTGTTCTTCTTTTTCAATATCATTTTGGCTATTCTGGGTCCCTTGCATTTCCATGCAAATTTTAAGCTTGTCATTTTCTGCAAAAAAGGCAGTTGGAATTTTGATAGCGATTGCACTGAATCTATAGATGAATTTGGGGAGTATTGCAATCTTAATAGGAGCTCTGGAAGCATAGTGGTTAAAGCATTTGACTGCTAACCAAGAGGTCAATGGTTCAAATCCACCAGCTGTTCCTTGGGAGAAAGATGAGGCAATCTGCTTCTGTAAAGATTATAGCCTTAGAAACCCGATGGGGCAGTTCTACTCTGTCCTGAAGTGTCAATAGGAGTTGGAATCAACTCGAGGACAATGAGTTTGCTTTTGTTTGTGCCATCTTAACAATATTAAGTCTTCCAACCCATGATCATGGATATCTTTCCATTTATTTAAGTATTTTAATTTATTACAACAATGTGTTAAAGTTTAAGCAGTCTTGCATTTCTTTTGTTAAATTTATTCCTAAGTTGTTTTTTTTTTTTTTGGTACTATTATCAATGGAATTATTTTCTTAATTTCATTTTTAGACTTTTCATTCTAATTGTATAGAAATACAGCTGATTTTTAAAATATCTCTTACATCCTGCAACCTTGATGAACTGATTTATCAGCTCTGTTTCTTTGTAAATTTCTTAAGATTTTCTATAAGAACATATCATCTGCAAATAGAGATAGTTTTACTTCTTTCTTTCCAACTTCTATATTTTTTATTTCATTTTCTTGTTTAATGGCCCTGACTTGAACCTCCAATTCTTATAGGTCTTTATACCTCTAACAGTCTCCTTCATTAAAAAAAAAAAAAAAAAATTTATTTGGTATCCATTTCCTTATGGCATCCATTTAAAGTGTCCCTCTGTCTTCTCTTGATTGGATTGAAATTGTAATTCAGTTGAAAATTGAGGATTGACTCAAGGAAGAATACAGAACAGAAGTTTAATGAATGTGTGAGTCATATTTAGCCCTGGGATGTTATTTCCCAACCTCTGCCATAGAGTCCCTGGGTGGTACAAGTAGTTAAGCTCTCAACTACTAACCAAAAGGCTGGTGGTTTAAACTTACCCAGACTTGCTAAAGAAGAAAGGTCTGGCTATCTGCTTCTGTAAGGTCACAGCCTTGAAAACCCTATGGAGCTCAGTTCTACTCTGATACACATGGGGTCACCATGAGTCCAAATCAACTCAATGGCCACTGGCTTGGCTTCCCATAGATAAGGGTTTCAACCCAGAGAGAAGTGGAAAACTAGTTCCTCTGTTCCAGGGGAACAGGCTGCAATCTCCATCCTTAGGGGCTCTTAAGTGGAATGAGAGGTCCAAGGGCCAAGAAAGCCTCTCCTTGAGGTTCTGTTAGAGACTGAACTTCAGACTGAAAATCTGTTTTCCCGGCAGCTGGAGCAGTTCAAGAAGAACAACATGGACATTGGCTTTGGGTCAGGTACCCGGGCCCTGGAGCAAGCCCTGGAGAAGACAAAAGCTAATATCAAATGGGTAAAGCAGAACAAGGAAGATGTGTTGAGGTGGTTCACAGAAAATAGTTCTTAAAATCACCTGGCCTCCATGTGAGATGCCCAGGTGCATCTATCCCAGCATCCTATATGGCAGGGCCCCCCAATTCCCAGAGCCTGAGCCACCAGCAGCTTCCCCTCAAGGACAAAGTCTCCAACCCATGTCCTTTTTGCTCCACTGGTGGGGCCAGTCCAACTCCTGATGGCTAGGCTCCAAGCATCTCCCAGCCCCTGCCCCTTGTGCCAACCGTCCCCAGCCTTGGCATAGCAGCCTGATGTCCAGGGCCCTGCAGCTGATCTCAGGGAATCACAGCTCCAGAGCCGGATGAGCAGCAGAAGCCCTTGATGGACAATGTATGGCCTTGGGCTGTGGGGGTTACCCTGCACCTTCTCTCACCTTCCTGTAAAGACATTGGAACCTGAGGGATCCAAAGGGCACCAGATCTGTATATTTTTTATCAGAGAACATGTAAATAAAGGGTTTCTAGTGAGTTACTTGGTTTATTACTAAACTTAATTAGGAGTGGGTCTGCTATAAGCTGGGGAAAGTGGGATTGAGGGGACCTGGGGTCCATTGGAAGGACTGTGGGAATCAGGACCCCCAAGAGCACAGTAGAAAGAAGCGTGCAGTCCACTGGCCCTTCCTGCCTAACACATGTGTAGCAGTGTCTGCCTGTAGTGCTCATTTCATCCAAATGAATTCCTACTTCGAGCTAAAGGCAAGACACTGAGGAACCAAGGAGACATGGTGGGTGGGTGCCAAGCAGAGCTGGTGTAGTCAGGCAAAGAGCAGGCTTGGCAGAGTGGAGGCGGTGCTTTTCCAGAAGCAGGAGAGAAGCTGGATTTGTACCACCCTAACATGAGGTGCTCTGGTGGTGTAGTGGATAAGGCATTTAGCTGCTAACCACAAGGTCAGCAGTTCAAACCCACTAGCTGCTCCACAGGAGGAAGATGGGGATGGGGTGATCTACTTCTGTAAAGACTTATAGCCTTGGAAACCCAATGGGTTTCATCCATCAACTTGATGGCAGTGAGTTTGGTTTTTATTTTTTTGAACATGAGGTGAGGGAGCATGATGCTGGCTAGGCTCCTCTTCCTGCACTTCAGCCAGCACCCAAACGGGAGGGCCAGTCAGTAAAGGCAGTGACTCTAGGTCTGAAGCCTGATGTGACCAACCACTCACATGCCTACCTTCCAGGATCCATGGTGGGTCTCTAAGATATAAGTTGGTAAACTGTAAAGTGACTGCACAATTGAGAAGTGGTTGTTTTCAAAAGTGGAAGCTTTGGTGGTGTAGTGCCTAAGGCATGTGACTGCTAACCAGAAGGCTGGCAGTTCAAATCCACCAGCCATTCCTCGGAAGGAAGGTTGGGCAATCTACTTCCATAGTGATACTGCGTTGAAATCTCAAGGAGGGGTCGCTGTGAGTAAGATCTTACTCCACAGCAGTGGGTTTGGTTTGTTTTCAAAAGTAGCATACAGGGAGGGGCAGTGCTGAGAATGGGAGGCAGGTGAGCTGAAGGGTGGGGAAAGATGTGACAGGGTCATGAAATAAGGGCTTGCCCTACAGATCACCATGGGCAGCCACTGGTGGTCATGGCCAAACCTGCCCTGACCTTGGTATGTACCTCTTGGCAAATGGAGCCAGGTTGTAGGAGGTTCACCTCAGCCTCAGCCCCATAAGGCCCAGCTGAACCTCCAAGGCTGGTGGGAGGGAAGGCGGGAAGTATAATACACTGCAGGGTGACTTCCAGTAAGATGGAGGAATAGGCAGACAAGCGACACAGACCCTCTTCAACAAAGAAAAGAAAAACCGATTGACAGAGATACAGAAGATAATCCTGGAGCCCTGAGCTTTGAAAGGAACTATACAGAAGTGATCAGGCACCAACTAGCAGAAAAACCTGAAGGAAAACAGTGAGTACAGAGACAGCTGGAGCTGCAGACTGTCGGCTCCTCTGATGGGACCAACAGCCTGAATATTTCCAAGTAGTGCTGGGACCTGAGAATTGACCTAAAGATTAACCCTGGTCACCAAAGGCTACAGGGATGACTGCACTGGTGGCCTATGACTAGAAAGGGAAACGGCAAGGTGGGAGACAATCTGAGCTGCTGACTTTCTGCTGTCCAGAGGGTGCAGCCATTTTGATTGTTTACAAGCAGTGGTCATTTTGGATATTTAAAGTGACCAAGGGCCCAGCCATTTTGAATCTTTGCAAGTGGCAGCCATTTTGGATTTTAAAGTGATAGCATTCTCATTTGGATTCCAGGGACCTAAGAATAGTCTCTGTTTGCCAAGGTCGACAGGGACATACGAGAGGCTGACAACAAGAAAGGAGACAGGTGGTGAGTGTATAAGTACTGCCCACTAGCAAATAGAGAAGCACAGCACAGTACCCTGCTTGTGTAGATAATAAACAAACAAAACAAAGAAAACGAAAATCATGGGCAAGTCACTCCAACATACAATCACCAATTAAATATAAACACAAAAACATCACAATGCCTCAGAGATAATAGAGCATCACAGTCCACACAAAGAAGCAAGATAAAGCAGGAAAACAAGGGATCAGGATACAGACCCAAAACACATCTCTGAGGAAGATGTAGCACTGAACTCCCTGATAAGGAATTCAAAATGAATTGAGAGACAAATCAAGGAAAACACAGAGAAAAACCTAAAACAATTTTGAAAGACAATACAAGAATAAAATGACAAAATAAATGAAAAATTAGAAATGATGCAAAATCTACACACAGAAATCCAGAAGATGAATACTAAATTTTCAGAAATAGATAAGACATTGAATGGGCAATGGAGCAGAATTGAATCAATGGAAGACAGAATTAGGAAGACTGAAGGCAAATACCTGAGCACTTCTTTGGAAAGGGATAAATCAGAAAAAAGATCAAAACAAAATGAAGAAAGTCTAAGGTTCAGGTGGGATACCATCACAAGGAATAACCGATGTGTCATTGGAATTCCAGAACAGGAAGAGAAAAATAAAACCATAGAGAAAATTGTCAAAGATTTGTTGGAAGATAATTTTCCTGGTGTGATGAAAGATAAGAATATATTCATTCAGGAAGTCTAAGGAAGCCCAAACAGGACAGACCTCAAAAGAAAATCACCCAGACATATCATCATCAAACTTACCAAAACCAAAGACAAAGAATCATGAGAGCAGCATGGGAAAAACAAAAAGTTCAACCAATAAGACTAAGCTCGGATTTCTCGACAGAAACCATGTAGGCAAGAAGACAATGGGATGGGATATATAAAACCCTGAAAGAGAAAATTTTCTGACCAAGAATTATGTACCCAGCAAAACTGTCCCTCAAATATGATGGTGAAATTAGGACATTTCCAGATAAGCAGAAATTAAAGGAATTTGTTAAAACCAGACCAGCCTTACAAGAGATGCTAAAGGGAGCCCTTTGGACAGAGAAGCAACAGCAGCCAACAACAACTGACCATTAACATACATGATGATATAACCCAGAAACCAACCCACCTATGGAAGTATCCAAAGTAAATAAGCCTACAAAATTGTAAACAGGGAACCAGAGGCATCAATTGACAAACGAGGACAACTACAAACCAAAAAGAAGGGAAAAACTGTGTCATTACAGAACTTCTAGATGGTAGGGAAGTCAAGACAACTACAAGATAGAATGGAGTGTTCTAAACTTGGGAAGAAAACTATAAATCACAGAGTAACCTCAAAGAAAAATGATAAATTTTCACATCAAAAAAGAGGACCAGCATAAATATTCAGCAAATACTAAAACAATAGCAATGAAGGAAGTGATAGCATGATTCATAAACAAAGTGAGCTCAGCACAGAAAATTATATGGAACAAAGAAATCGACACCACGAAAAGCACATAACAAAAATGACAGCAACAAATTCATATTTGTCAATAATGACATATTTGGCAAGGGACTTATCTCTAAGATTTATAGCAGAAGAGTGGATGACCAAACTATGGTACATACACGTAATGGAACACTATGCAGCACTAAAGAATAATGTAGAGTCTGCAAGACACTGCATAATATGGATGAACTTGGAGGACATTATGCTGAGTGACATAAGTCAATCACAGAAGGACAAATATAGTATTAGTTCGTTGTTGTGGAGGGTCAAGGAAAGGTTTGTATATGGAGGGAAACTTTCTTTGTTGGTTGCCAGGGGTGGGAGAGGAGGGGAGGGAACACTGAAAAAAAAAATGCATTGAGCCATGTCACTTTAGTTTTGTGTATTTCACTGTACATAAATTATATTTCAATAAAATGCATTAAAGAAAAAAAAAAAAGAGATGCTGCAGGGCAGTGTCATCTCCAACTGATACATACAGCATGCTTGGAGTCCAGCAATCCTGGCTTTTGATCCCAATTCAACCACTGTTTCTCTGAGTAAGCGACTTAAACATCTCCTCAAGCCTCATCCGCAGCATAGGGTTGGTGTGTGGATTTAAGGTGATTCACTACTCAGCACAAGGCCTGACCTTTATGAGTTGTTGACAGCACCATGCATTGTTAAGTATATTAATCCTGCCTCCTGACTTCAAGGCCTGCCTGTACTCTTCCCTCTTGCTCCAGTGACAAGCTGGTGATTTGGACAAAAACCAAAAACCGGCTTCCCCACCTCCACCATCATCTGCACATCAAAGGGCAGGGTGGGCTGGGGGGCGGAGGCAGTTCCAGGTGTGGGGCGGTGTCCTGCCACCAACCAGGAAGCTCCCTGGGCTCACCCCAGATTAAGCATCCCCAGCCCCTCTGCGCCAGCCCTTCCTGTCGCCAGCGCCCAGCAACCATGACTGACACTTGGCCTTCGGAAGACTAGTGGGCAAGCCCCCTCGGGTGGTCCCCGCTGGAGGAGGGGCTGGCCTCATCATCTTGGGTCCCTAGTTGTTCCACGCTCCAGGAACAGGGCAGGGGAGAGCTGACCTACCAGGGAGAACAAGGATTGTCTCCTCTACGCCTAGCACTGGCTAAGCACATGACCTCATCTTGTCCTTGCAGACTTCCGA